GTTGCTCGAGCTTGGGACAATTTTATTTTGTCACTCATAATGGTGAATCTGGATACCGTAACCTATTCATATCCTTCCAAACAATTAGGAACACTAGGTTTCCAAGAATAATAATTCAAAGATTAACAGATGATGGAGCGAATGTGTGTTACCTGTCGTGTATTACTGAATTATGTCCCCCTTTCAAAGAGAAATACAAGGTATATTTATGCATGTTTGGGTTGGTCAACTGATATAGGATCGGAATCACTCCAATTCTAAGACCACTCGATGATCGAGAGATTCCAAGCCTAGACTTGCGGAATGTGAAAACGATGGTAGAGGTGGAAGATAAGTGATTGACTCGCTCAATCAAATGGACGAACAAGGAAGTTTGAATCTCACAAACACACTTAATTCGTGGTTTTTAAAGAATAGAAGTGAATCACACACTTTTATTCAAAAGAACAAGAATAATCTTCAAAGACACTACTTTGAAAGAAAAACTAGAAACTTTGTATTAATCTATGATCAAGGGTGTCTTTTTAATTAAAATGGATCGAGATGAGCTTATATAGGACTCTATATATGACTCTTTCCCAACGTTCTAATAGCCTAAACTAAGAAACAAAATCGCAGAATTAAAAGAAAAAGTAGTCGTTGGGCTTTTAATGTGAAATTTGGCCAAATAAGGTAAGTTGTGATGTTTTTTGAGTCTTGAGAGTTTGGGCGTGAATATATGATGTCTTGGGACGTCTTGATTCACTAAAAATGTGCTCAGATGTCTGCAGAAGTGAAGATATAGCCGCTGGAGATTTATAACACCAAGTGTGATCATATTGAATGCGCTTGGGTCTGAATAAGGTAAGTCATTCCATTTGCAGCACCAATCGATCCTATGCGTTTTGATAGAGCTAATGACATCTTGTAGAGCTTCTAGTTGATGTAGAAGGTCTCCTGGTCTCCAAAGATACGTTTGCAATCTCCCAAACTCGGAAGGTTCCAAATAAGGCAAGCTGAGGAATGGCTGGTTTAGAAAATCAAAACTTTATGAACCGATATTGGCCGCAAACCAATTCTCCTTATGTCTCTGATGCTCACAAATCTGGAACAATTCGGTTCATGGCTTAATTCTTCTTGGTTTGGTTGGAATCCTTCTTTTAACGCGCATATGTCCAAATCAGGTAAGGCTAGAAACACTCGACTTGTAAACTGAATATCTCCTTTATCGAAACTCCGATTGGGTTGATTCAAATTCATCGCTTTCGGTAATTGAGCTGAGAATGTTTCCCAATGGTTTGATGCTCTGAATCTTCGTGGTTAATTCGGTATGCTCTAAGAAAGGAACATATGTCTTTGTCGAATCCTATGCGGCTTGAATGGTATGTTTGATGGAGCTCCAAGCCAGTTTCATGTTTGATGACCACATCATACCCTTCCCCTTGACTGGATTTTGTCCTCAAAATTGTAGGATCTACACAGACATAAATCAATTTAGTATCTTCAAATAAGTGCGAGTTTAGAAGATTACCTCGAGTAAGGGCTGGTGTATTGCTCAGATGAAGTTGATGCTGTGCGTCTAGTGGTTCTTCTTCTTTCTCTATGATCTTCTTTTGTATCTCGAGATCCATGTCCA